TTATTAATTTTTTTATTAGCTAAATAATTTGTTTTGAGCTATTAGTTGGACTATTAGCTAGGAATAGGATTAGAACTAATTTTAGCGGCTAATGCTCATGAGATCCAAATTAGTATGCCCCAAATAATTTCAATCCTGACGTATCTTCTATTTTGCTTAATGTTGTGATAGGGAAAACCTTTCACCTAAGAAGAGAGGTTTCTTCTGTATGACGATAAAGATAGAAATGTTTAACCAAGTCAAGTAGTAGTAAAACTACGGGCCTGTTTGGTTTCTATAGGAGCTCCTAAATTTCTGTCACATCGAATGTTTGACACATGTATGGAGTATTAAATATAGACTAATTACGAAACTAATTGCACAACTTGCGACTAATTTGCGAGACGAATCTTTTAAGCCTAATTAGTCCATGATTTGATAACGTGGTGCTACAGTAAACATGTGCTAGTGACGGATTAATTAGGTTTAAAAAATTCGTCTCGCAAATCAGCCTCCATCTATATAATTGGTTTTGTAATTAATCTATATTTAATGCTCCTTATTAGCATCTAAACATTCGATATGACATGAATTTAAGTAGCGACTAAAGAACCAACGTCTCCTTTTAGGAAAAAAGAGAAAGTAAAAAAAAAATTATATGCTTGATTTGACTGTGGTCATAATCATCGGTCGACTTCTGTCTGAATAATCTGACACAAAAGTTGACCATGGACTGTGTACATACATGATTAGTTTTTTTTAAGCCTCTCATCCGGTACAACCGTAGTATCTTGTAAAGCACACCGATGCTACCCACACGCACTATACGAACTAGACCTACCACTGCACATATCGGAATACCATGTTTTTCTTGAGATCACCTAGACCAACAAGGCTCCATAGGAGCCGAGATGAAGATGGAGAATAAAACCCCGACGTGAGGCGTCCTGGGTCGATTCTAGGAATCAAACCCAGGACCTGCCGCTCGTACGACCACGAGCGAGTCAACCGAGCTATGTTCTTATCCTCATGACTAGCTTATTTGGATCTTCATGTCAGCGAACACGAGTGGTCTCTTCCGATATCCAGCGTGTTCGTTTCGGCTGGATTGGCTGATAAGTAATGACTGAAAGTACTGCTGGTTGGTTTGGTGTGAAAGAAAAACAATGTTGGTTGGCTGATAAGCCAAGACTTATAAGCCAGATACAGACCGCCAAACAAGCTGATCGTCCCTCTGCCGACAACAGTACACATCCGACGACTTGCAATCATGAACGTGCATGTTACGTGAAGGATCGATGCAACTAGCTAGCTTTGCTTGTGGACGACGAGAAGCAGCCACCGTGTGCAGTGCAGCAAAACTGCAAAAGTGGATCGATCGGATCCCGGCCGGCACGGCAACACGCATATGTGCATGCATGGCGCATACACACTGCTACAGGTACTCTCCTTCCTATCTATACGGCCGAACCCATGTAATGCAAATGATTTCATCAAGAACTATATGGCCGACGACGCATTGCTTTTCGCCATGGACCATCCGAGTAGCTGCTTCTAGTAGTAGTGATCGAGTTGCATGCATGATTTCTCATGATTGAGAGGAAACAGCTGTGATGGCTTTTCCAACATGACTAGCCAAGTGAGCTGTGTTCGTTAGCGTTATGCTGTTGTTGAGATCCATCGATCGGTTCCTATCGACACACCACACAAACAACAACTGTAGTTAATGATCGATGAGCTGATGGCTCGGAGCCTCCTAGCTTATTCAATACAAATTTTTCGTTCTCTTTTATGTTTAGTAGTAAATATGCCCATGTCTTACGTAGAATCTAGTATGTCTTGGAATTAGATTTTGTACAGTCACTAGACACGAGTTGTTCTAACTCATATGCACGTGGGCCATAAATTCAGGCCATATATATGATATTATGCAGAGGATGTGAGGGCAAGTAGCGACTTACGGTGCAATGGATGAGCAAAAATAGGTATGAGGGTTCCGGAGATCGACATACTCTCCTAATCGTCGGTGCACGTAGGCACTCGGGGTGGAGAAGTTATGACGGCGACACAACAATGGAAATAGACAAAACCAAAAACTAAAATAGTAAAAGAAGACCACGTGGGTTAGATTTGGACGGACCATTCACGTAGGTGTCCCACGTGGCCACGCTTAATGAGGCACGATATGTGGGTTTCCTTATCTCTTCCAGAGTAGACGTAATGATGTGGAGTTACGGAATTCCATTTTTAAGTATTACTCCACTTCCACGAATAAGGTGGGACCAAAGATCCTTACATTTTCCTCTTTGCACAGATAAATGGTCCTTTGAAATTTATTTGGAGTTACTCAGAATTTGTTATTGGACATAGCCCATATATTGTAACACAAACTTGCTAGTATATCAGCATGCTGCACACAGGCCGGAGCTGCACGAATGGTGGATCTGTGGTGCCTTCATCCTCACGAAGCATCTTCCCCCGTAAGCAGAGATCAGCATCGATAGCTGGGGCATGCATGGCGCCGCGGCGAGCGAAGGGATCGACGAGCGAGCGAGCGAGCTGCAGCGCACCTGCGTGATTGCTCCGATCCATCCGACAGGACAGTGCCCCCGCCCTCGCTCCCTTAGCTTTCGCATGCCTGCCGACGACTGCCGTTGCCCGTTGGCGACGGCGACAGCCTAGCTAACAGCGTTCACACGAAAGTAAAGGAGGGGAGCGAGCGGTGGCACCGGCACCGGCACCGGCACCGCACGACGGTGAGCCCCATGCATGACCATTGGCCGTAGCTATAGCTTCGAGATTCTGAGATCTCTTGGTAGCACACGCCGCCTGCCGGTGATGGCGGCATCAGGCCATGAGCCAGCCAGCCATCCACCGTGCCCGTACTCGTTAGGTTGCAACAGCTAGCAGCAGGTAGGGAGATCGATGGGTCGCTGTCGATGCTGCGTGCTGCAACTGCAACTGCAACTGTAACTGTTTGTTTGTTTTCTCATCACAGTGCAGTGCAGCTTCAGCAATGCAACAGGTCACGTACGCACGCACGTGCAGTGGACTGGATCCATCCACGCATCTCGATCGCAACAGTTGTTGTTTTCATCACAGCCAGCCGCTCTGACCACACACTAGTACCAGTAGCAGTAGCAGCGAGCCCGTTCGGCTGGCTTTAAGCCGGCTGGCTGGCTGGTTCTTGCTCTCACGAAATCACTGTTCACGTCTTGCCAGAACAGTATTTTTTTCTCACAACAATCAGCCGGAACAATATTTTTCAGTCCTGCCGAACAGGCCCAGCAGCAGCAGCAGCTAGCAAGCTACTAGCTCCTGCAGCGTGCTGTTGCCACTCAACAATCAACAGTCTGGAGCATGCAGTACAGGTACAGCAGCAGGCGAACGCTGAACGCATGGCTGCATTTATTTATTGGGTAAAGTACTCTTTCCGAACTTCGTCTCGCCGAAGTTCGATTTTCAGCCAAACCGTCTAAAGAAACGCCCTCCAGCTATTAAAATCGGACAAAATTAGACATCAGCTGATTTCAAAATCAATTTTCTATTTTTGAAAGATGCTGAAATTTTATATTATTTTTTAGCATCTTAACGTCCTCAAATGAAAAAACTCAAAACTACAAAGTTGTAGATCTCATTGAGACCTACAACTTTGATATAAAAATATTTTCATTTAACTCCATACAAATAATATATTAGTGCTCTAATGCGGCAAGCGCTAGCAGACGATTATTATGGTGCTGAAATTTTATATTATTTTTTTAAGCATCTTACTGTCCTCAAATGAAAAAAAAATTAAAATTATAAAATTGTAGATCTCATCGAGATCTATAATTTACATATAAAAATTATCTTCATCCGACATTGTATTGAAGAGTTTTCTATTTTTTGAAATTTGAGTCTCGTCACGCCACAGTATTGTTTTGTGGCGTGACGAGACTCAAATTTCAAAAAATAGAAAACCCTTCGATACGATGTCGGATGAAGATAATTTTTATATTTAAATTGTAGACCTCGATGAGATCTACAACTTTATAGTTTTAATTTTTTTCATTTGAAGACAGTAAGATGCTCAAAAAAATAATATAAATTTCAGCACCATAATAATCGCCTACTAGAGCTTGCCGCATTAGAGCACTAATATATTATTTGTATGGAGTTAAATGAAAATACTTTTTATACCAAAATTGTAGCTCTGTAGTTTTGAGTTTTTTCATTTGAGGACGTTAAGATGCTCAAAAAAAATAATATAAAATTTTGGCGTTTCCCGAAAATAGAAAACCGCTTTTGAAACCAGCCGAGATCCAAATTTGTCCGGTTTTGATAGTCGGAGGGTGTTTCTTAGCCGGTTTCGTAGTTGAAGGTTGAAAATCGAACTTCGGCATGAGGGTTGAAAAGTGTACTTTACCCTTATTTAATCAGCACTGAAGACTGCAACGGAACAGAACAGAGCACACGGTCCCTCTCCACCACACTGTGATCTCCATCTCATTCTAATCTACGGAGATGCTTGTGTTACAGACTAACACAACAGTTAGTAGTTCTCGTGCGACGCTGACGCGCTTGACAAAGAGACTTCGCATTGCCGATAGATCAATGGTATGGTATGCATCTTGCCCCCACCACCACCGAATTGGTTACAGTACAGCCACATCACATCGTTTGCGAAATTATTGGGAAAGCGATTGACATGGTTACAGTACAGTACAGCCATAGGAGTGACAGTGGTACACACACAGCAGAAGCAGAGTAAAATGCATGCTTGCTCTCTGTAACTGTAACCAGGACGCGTTTCATAGCAGTTTTTTTCGGGGTCTCATTTTACAAGCAAAACGAGTTTGCTGGCTGCTGTCCCGCACCAAGTTACAGGCCAAGAGAAAACAGAGAGAGAGAGAGATAGGAACAGAGTGAGCGAGAGAAACCACACTAACTACTAGCGACGACATCTTTCTTATCTATGCTTAGCCTTGCCTTCCTCCGAAGAAGATAAGGGTAACAAACAACTGGGAACTAACATGAGGTCAGAGATCATCATAATCCGGTCGCCGCCGCAGGTTGATGGGGTATCCTTTGAGGGTCCGGGTGGTGGGGAAGAAGACAATCCTGTCCTCCTCAGCTTCTTCCCAGCTGCACATTGTTCATCGGTCAAGACGCACAATTCAATTCGATCAGTGTGAGTGAGTGAGCGAGTGACATCCATCCAGTTTCGAGCACACAGGCGAGCTGAAACTCCGCCTCAAGATAATGTCTACTCCACACTATCTATGGCGGTAGGATATGGAGTGCACGGAATGTAAAGATAAGGATGGGGTTACCTAAAGCGCGTCACGAGATGGTGGAGGAAAACAGAAACCACCACCCGGGCAAGCTCGTAGCCTGGGCACAGACGAGGTCCGCCGCCGAAGGGAGTAAACAGACTGGCCCCTTCCGCGTTCTGAACCTTATTCTTGCTCTGCACATGCAATGGGAGCCATGAATTGTTCTGCGTGTCTGTATCTTTTATAGAAATTGTTTCGCGTATAAGCAACTCAGCATGCCTAATATCTTGCTTTTTGATCGTAAGCCATATGTAGCAGAAAGTGTGTTTGTTTTGGATTGAGGAATAGAGTTATCTAAGCCAAATATCTTGCTTTCGATCATAAGCCATATGTAATAGAAAGTGTGCTTATTTTAGATTGAGGAAGGAATAGAGTAATCCAAGGCAAGCACATAACAGAGAATATGTAGAACAGCATAGCAATATTCTGAAGGCCATATGAAGTACCTGCCATCTCCAAGGGTCAAAGGTCCGAGCATTCTCGTAGTGTTCGAGGTTAAGGTGCACAGCTCGGAACGAAGCGAATATTTTGCAGCCCTTTGGAATAACGTAATCTAATGAACAAAACAGAATGTTATTAAAGAACGAATGAATATCTCAGCTGGTAAAAACTTGGAAGACTTAAAGATAGTTTCTATAGAAATAACCTTTAAAATGAATATCAGTGTTTGCACGCCTGAACACCCCGCTAATTAAGTTAGCCACGCGCAGTGTTTCACTTATCACCTGCAAAAATGGGAATATCCGACTGTGCTCAAATGTTCTTTTCAAGAGAGATAAGTTTATTGCAAAAAAATGAAACAGCTAGATGGCATTTTGCCTTTCCCATGGTAGAAAGAAGGTGATTTGAAGAAATAAAACAGGGACTCCATACTGCTTACACATTGTGTAAATGGCATCGACTTGTAATCGCTCCATTCCAGAGGTTGGTCCTTGCCTTTTATGCCTCTGATATTGTCATGCTCTTCCTGTAAATAAATTCAGCAAATATCTGGAATAAATTTCACATGTTCTAAAGCAGAATAACATTTGGACCACAACGCACGATTGTGTTATTGAAAATACTGAAAATAAATAAAGATTCCATAAGGTGGCTTAAAATTCAGATCCAGTCTCGCTATGATGTTGCTACTATTCTCACTTTCTGCTGTTCATTTGGATAGCCTTGGAATCCTTCCAAGTACAGAGGTGGATGAGAAGGAATAAAGCGCTTTTATTTATGCACAAATAAGAAAAGATGGCCCAGGAATAATTCAGTAGGAGTTGTGTGCGTAGCAGATTCATTCTTGGGCCTTGTTTAGATTGCAAGTTTTTTCACTCTTTCTCCATCACATCAAATCTTTGGACACATGCATGGAGTATTAAATGTAGATAACTAATTACACAGTTTGATTGTAAATTACGAGACGAATCTTTTGAGCCTAGTTAGGTCATGATTGGACAATAATTATCAAATACAAACGAAAGTGCTACAATGCCAAATACTAATTCCTAACCCCAATCTAAACAAGATCTTGGACAAGGTTCAAGGAAATAGGCAACATCACATCAGCACCTATTGCAGGATGCTTATAGAGAATCAAGCAAATTGGGTGTAGTAGCAACAACTTTGCAATAAACAACAGATGAACTAAAAAATTGTACTAGAATTCCACCTAAAAACAGAATCCGGGCGGCCACCAGACTTTCTTTTGGACAAGAAGACTACCAAGTAGTATTGATGTATGACAGGTTAAGGTAATCTACTTAAACTATAATGTCATATTACGAAATCAGTTGACGTATCCTCCCCAATGTCCAAGCCAATTCAACTGTTGGCAGTCCCCACCACCTCCATCACCCACACGTGCCCAAGGATTTGTGCTACTACCACCGAACATTCCAACACAGAAGAATTTCTAATTGCCAAACAAATCTCTCATGATTGATGATTCTTAGTGATATATACCTTCAGCTGCGCCAGTGCAGTGGGCGTCTCAGTGAGGAACTTGACGGCGAGCGTCATGAGCACGGAGGTGGTCTCGTAGCCGGCCACCAGCAGAGACAGGCAGAAATCAACCATCTCCTCCACGGAGAAGCTCCCACCCTCTGCTTCGAGAAGCTCCTCCACCATGTCCTTCTTCTCCCTCTTCTCCTCATCCTCCCATTTTTACTGGCGCCACCGGTCTCCGCCTTCTCGTCCATCCTCTTTCTTATCACCTCCCCGAAGAGCTCCGGCCACCTTCTTCCTCGCCTGAATCGAACAAAAAAATGCATCTTTATATCAATTCGCGAATGCAATGTTGCATATATACTAGTAGGGGAGAAAAAATGGGGAGAAGAAGGAAGGCATACGGGTTTGAGCACCTTGAGGGCCTGGCCGTAGGCGGTGAAAGGGAGGAGGTAGGCGAAGGGAAGGGATGGAGAAGAAGCCGTCGACGAGCTTGACGTACTCGCGGCGGACGCTCTCGGTCCATGGCCCGGGCTCGATGCTGACGAGCTGCCAGACGGTGAGGTTGAAGGTGATCTTCTTGGCCTCGTCGAGGAGGCGGACGGCGGGGGCGCCGGGGCGGCCCCAGTCCCGCATGGTGGCGAGGACGAGGCGGTCGATGTGCGCCAGCAGCGGCGGCGAGGCCGGGCGGCCCAGGCGGGTGAGCGTGAGCGAGTGGAGGCGCTTGTGCGCGGGCCCGGCGGTGAGGAGCAGCGAGCGCGGGCCGAGCAGCGTGGCGATGGAGGACGGGTAGCTGCAGCTGACGGCGCGGCCCTCGGCGGCCAGCAGGAGGCGGTTGAAGGCCGGGTCGGCGGAGAAGACGGTGCGCTCGCCGAAGACGTGCGTGGTGAACACCCCGCTGCCGTGCCGCGCCACGCGCTCGTCGATGAACGGCTCCGGGTTCGGCGTCTTGTACGCCGCGATGAGGCGCAGCGTCTCCCCGATGAGCGGCAGCCCCGTGCTGCCCGGCGGCAGCCGCGGCGCCGCCGACGCGGACCGCCGCCGCCGCCCCGCCGCCTGCCCGCCGGCCAGGAGAAGCAGCCACCCCAGCGCCGCGGCGGCCAGCAGGGTCGTCGCCGCGGCCAGGAGGAACAGCGGCGGCGGTGGCCCGCCCGCGTCCATGGCAGTGGCCTTGGGTTGGGTGCGGGTGGAGTGGAGCTCGTGCGCGTGTCGCGGTGTCGGGGAGTGACTGAGATTGAGTTGATGCGGTGCCAGAGATGGAGAGGAGATTCTTTGACACCACCAGCCAGACCAAGGTGGAGGATGTTGGTGGGGGCATTTATTTATAGGCTTTGTATAGATGGCTGATAATAAATTTTGGCAATTTTCCTTTTTATGGAAATATACTCCCTCTGTTAAATAATATAATATAATATACCAAAATTTAAGCGGCACTTAAATGACACATATACCATGGATTGTACCCAGTTAAAATGTTTCTCCTAATAGATGAGTGCCTGTGCGTTGCAACGGGTCTAACATAAATTGAATAAGATGTTTGTTAGCCAAGTTAAAATCAAGAATATATCAATTCAATTTTTCATGTGTATTATACCATGATAATGTCTAGAAACACATTCATTATCGCAATGAATCTGAAATAAAAGTTAGGCTTGGAGCTTGTTGTCTGAAAGTTACGACAAACATCAGTTGCCTCAAAGGCTGAAAATTTATTGCTAGGCATTAAATTGAATTTATCCATGCTTTGCCTTGCCCAAAATATGTATACTCGGACTTACAATATCCTAGCCCGGATGAAGCATGTCAAAATTCATTTTTTGGGAAAAAAAGTATTTGTTGTCAACACGCAACGCGAAGGACGACGAACGAGATTTGGATCATGATCATGATCATTGCATGGTGATATTCCAATAAATTCCCTTCTCTTTTCATAATTCTCTTTCCATTTTATTTCATTTTATTTGCTTGCCTTCTAGTGTCTCCATGCGGTGATTATTTGTCTGTCGGCGATTCCGCGAGTTTTATTCTATTTTATTTACTTGTCTTCCAGTGTCTCCATACGGTGATTATTTGCCTGTCGGATATGGATCGCATGAGTGTTTTGATCCTGCCGGGTAGATATTGACAATCCGTATGTTTTAGTAGTAGAGATATAATATACCCAATTTAAGTGTCTCCTAATATAATATACCAAAGTTTAAGAGACACTTAAATGACACATATATGCTATATTTTAGGATGTTCTTAATTGGAGTATATTCTAAAAATTTTAAGACAACTTAAGAGACACTTAAATGACATATATACCATGGATTGTACCCAATTAAGAAGTTTCTCCTAATATAATATACCCAATTTAAGTGTCTCCTAATATAATATACCAAAATTTAATAGACACTTAAATGACACATATACACTATATTTTAGGATGTTCTTAGTTGGAGTACACTTAAATAACACATATACCATGGATTGTACCTAATTAAGAAGTTTCTCTTCATATTATGGTTTCTTTTTTACAAACTTTGTCAATCTAAGTATAGTTATTATATAAAATGCATTATGTTTTAGTGGAAACTTTAGAGCAATACACTATATTTGAGGGCGAAGGTAATATGTTTGCCGTAGAAGATTTTTGCAGTTTAATATTGAGTTGTGGGGAGATGGACCGTGGATAAAGTTTTGTTAGAATAATGCTTGTTTACTTTGGTCCAAAAGGGAATGTATGGCACGGCATGGGGGGCCAGTGTGGCAATGCTAGTGAAAAGGGGCGAGGAATGTTTTCTTATTTTTCCCTTTTAGAAAAAGAAAACCCAAACCATGTGAGGGATAAAGTTTAGTACTGTAAGAAGGATAGAGAAACGGGGCCCACTTTGAATCCTCTTTCCAAGCGAGGATTTTTAAAACGTGCAACTGTAGATTCATATGCTCCCCTCCTTCAGAAAAAAAATATCATCCTAATCAGTGTTGCCACACATTAGTAGGCTATATATACACAGTGTATACGGGTTACATGATTTATATAGATTTCATTAATAAAATCTATATAAATTTAAAAAATTTAGGATGTGAAAATTGCAAATGTACCATAGAGTGAAGGCATCACTGCTTAGTTCATTATGGTGGCAAACATCAAATGGAGTACTTCATAATTCTCACAAGATAACACGAGATACGGTAAATGAAAAAGATAGAGAAATACTTATTGAAAATCTATAGCGAGATAATATAACCACGTCGTTTCCCATAGCCGTGACGACTAAAATGGCCCATTACACATCTTAAACCTCGATCGGATATATAGCTCGTTTTTCATTAAGACGAAGTAGAGATAGTTAAATAGTTACAACAACCGTCATCTCGGTAATCCCAAGATTACCAAGACCCAAGCACACGATACAAGAAAAAGCAAGAAAACAGCAAGAAAGGCGGAAGGGAGAGTACCCTTCACCATAGACCTAATCGAACTGAACCTGCAGGAAAAAAAATTCAACGCAAAGGCTGCCCACTCAGAAAATGAAGCCGCGGTGGCAAAGCATCCACATGAAGAACTAAGATAACGGCAACAACAGTGACCAGGTAGCCGCTGTGATCAACCGCCGAAAGAACCTAGATAATGGCGACAACAGCGACCAGGTAGCCGCTGTGGTCAACCGAACGACTGCATCGGCAACTCCAACAGCGACCAGGGAGCCACTGTGAACCGAGCGACTGCACCGGCAACATCAACAGCGACCAGGTAGCCGCTGTGAACCACGCGACTGTGGCTGTAACATCAACAACGACCAGGTAGCCACCGTGACCCGTCAAACGACTGCAACGGCAACATCAACTGAGGCAGGGCTGACCGATGCGAAGAGTAGAATGACACACACGTAGGCACAATACAGTAAGGAGCGACATCCAGTGAACGGCGTGGGAGCAGCAGGTGGAGTGCAACAACGAAGCCTTCAACAAGGGAATGACATCTGCGGACACAGGCACCCAAGATGGACTTTCGTCCCCAAACTTGCCCCAGCAACCCCTAGCGTTGAGCAGAAAAATGAGGACGCCTCCAAGAAGGTGATGACACTAGCGCGCCACCGTCGTCGGCCCAAGGCAAGAAGCCTGGTGGTATTTTCATCCGAAGACTGTTCGCCGGCCACAGCAGGCCAGATCCAATGGACACCCGCCCTAGGCGCCATACCCTCATAGCGCAGCCTAGACATTGCAATCGTGGACGCCGGCATGACTAAGGCAGGCGCGGCCTGGCCGCCGCGGCGTCACTGCCTGCCCGCCGTTGCCGGCAGGCATGGGAAGGCAGTCGCAGCCTTGGCCGACCGCCGCAGGCGAGCCGCCAGGCTACTGAGGCCACCGAACGCCGGGCCAGCCGCAGCGTCCTGACCGGCCACCATAGATCTATGGCAGGATAGGCCAGATCTGGCCCCAGGGCCCTAAATCTACCCCGCCGGCCACTGAAAGTAACGGTGGAGAAGGGGGAGGGAGCGCAGACGGGGTGGCCCTGCCACGCTAAAAGCTCTAGTTTGATTTTGGTGAATTGATGAAACCCTAAGTGCTAACCTAGTTTATCAAGTGATCACGAGATAGGTAGCACACTCCAAGTGGTGAAGCAAATGAAGATCATAGCATAATAAAGATGATGGCATGGTGATGATCAAGTGCTTCGACTTGGAAAGAAGAAAGAGAAAAACAAAAAGCTCAAGACAAAGGTATAATTTGTAGGAGCTATTTTGTTTTGATGATCAAGACACTTAGAGAGTGTGATCACATTTATGATTGATAGCCGTACTATTAAGAGGGGTGAAACTCGTATCGGAATGCGATTATCAAAGTGCCACTAGATGCTCTAACTCATTGCATATGTATTTAGAATCTAGTGGAGTGCTAACACCCTTGAAAATGTTTGTGAAAATATGCTAACACATGTGCACAAGGTGATACACTTGGTGGTTGGCACATTTGAGCAAGGGTGAAGAAGTTAGGAGTGAAATGGAGTTGGATGCAATGATGCTGGCGTCGGTCAACTGACCGGACGCTGGGTCGCTCTGCGACCGGACGCTGAAAGACCGCGTCCGGTCGAGCTGTCAGACGGCACAGTGGTTAGGGTTAAGCATCGGACGCTGGGCTGTGTCCGGTCAAGCATGACCGGACGCGTCCGGTCGGCAAAAATAGGTTTTGGACCCTTATTGGAAACGACCGGACGCTGAGGGTCCAGCGTCCGGTCAGCTCTGTCGAAGCGTCCGGTCAACTTTTCGACCGTTGAGATCAAACATTCACAGTTGAACGCAGGTGACACGTGGCCGCCATCGGGCGACCGGACACTGAGGAGCAGCGTCCGGTCAGTAGGACCGGAGCGTCCGGTCAGCCCGATCAGAACCCAGTGAAGGGGTACAACGGCTCTATTTCGTGGGGGCTTCTATTTAAACCCCATGGCCGGCTCAAGCTCACTCTCTTGACCATTTTCATTAACATAGCAACCTTGTGAGCTTAGCCAAAGCCCTCCCACTCATCTCCATCATTGATTCATCATCATAATGAGTTTGGGAGTGATCCAAGTGCATTGCTTGAGTGTTTGCATCTAGAGGCACTTGGTGTTCGTGTTTCACTGTGGGATTCACTTGTTACTCTTGGTGGTTGCCGCCACCTAGACGGCTTGGAGAAACGAGGATCGTCGAGCGGAGGGTGGTGATTGTCTCCGGCTCCGATCGTGGTGATTGTGAGGGGTTCTTGACCTTTCCCCGGCGGAGCGCCAAAAGGTACTCTAGTGGATTGCTTGTGGCTTGTGTGATCCTCATCTTGTGTTGGTTGTGCGGCACCCTATTGAGGGTTTAGCGTGTGAACCTCCAAGTGAGTGAATCACCACAACGAGGACTAGCTTGCAGGTAAGCAAGTGAACATCGGTAAAAAATCATTGTGTTCATCATTTGATTCCGAGGTGATTGGTCTTCATTGTTATTCATCTTTGTGATTGATTGGCTCCTTCCTTGACACGGCGATATAACCTTCTTGATCACTTTCTTTACATTACCGCAAACTAGTTGTCAAGCTCTTTAGTGTAGCTAGTTGTGAGAGCTTGCTTGGTTGGTTGGTGTGGCTCTTTAGCTAGCCTTTCAGAGCTCACTAACATAGAGTATTGTCAAAGCTTGTCGATGGGGAACCCT